AAACAAAAAAAAAAAAAAAAAAAAAAAAAAAAAAAAAATTTGGCCTCTGGGTATAGCATTTTACAACAGGGGCATTGCAGCAGGCAAACCTACACAATGCTTTCTCTGTGACACATGCACATTTCTGCCTCCACCCTGGTCACACGCCATTTCTTGGGAAAGGCTCCCTTGCACAACACTAAGCTGTGTGCATGACACAAGCCCAGTGGGTCTTACAAGTCAAGTTCTTGAGTCAAGATGCTGACCCCTATAATGAGGATTCCAAGACACAGGCCAAACTTCGGGCCACTTGCAAATGCAATGAAGCAAAATATATCTTGGGTAAGAGCCCTGAGCTTGCCCTCCAGAATAATTAAGAAATAATGGCTCTCTTCAAAGAATAAATCTTAATTTGGAAAACCAAAATTCTTTAACAAGGTGCCTCCAAGCATTTACAATATGGTATGACTTTCAAGCAACATTTTTGGAATTTAGATACTACCAGAAAGGAGGTATCTATCTTTCCCACCAGCAACTGTGTCTGTGTGTGTCTATAAAATAAGGTGGAATGTAGGCGTGGGATAATTAATCTGAGAAATTCCAGGAATCTGGGGGCGGGGTGGAGATTAGGGTCAAAGTATTGCAGTAAATATTGTGAGAGATTGAAGATACAAACAGACACTAGCTAGACCAGAGATGATAACAGATGATAACAGAACTCTGACCCACCACCTCTGCAGCAGCAGCCATCCCAGGCAGCCAGACTGCAGCCTCCCCAGCAGTGGGCCCATGATGGTCAGGATGTGGGGAATGACTGCCAGCTTCCCTGATTTGCCCCCCCTTCCAACTCAAGACAATCAGAGAAACCCAGATACGTTCCCCAATCCAATCACATAAGATGCCCGATTCTAGGCAGCTCCCCTTCAGCTTCGCCATGCCCCCAGTAACGCTACACTCGGAAGCTTTGCCAGAGTCCTAACAGCCTTAACCTCTGCCAGACAAAGTGATGGTGGCTCACACCCTTGCTATAGCAAGCTCTAAAGAAATAGCCTCTGTTCTCACTTGGCCTTCGCTTATTTCCACAATTTCAGGAGTTCGAACCTCAGCTCGCCTGCTTACTACCTGAGTGACCTTGAGGAGTTACTTCACCTTTCTGTGTCTCAGGCACCTTATTGGTTGTGAGTTAATATATCTTTAAAAAGCACTTACAATGGTGCCTGGCAGGGAGCAGGTGCTCACTGAATGTTAGCCATTGTTACAATCATCATCAGGGGAGAATTCCAGGAGGAAACGGGAGTTGCATAATAAGAGTGTAGAAGTGCTAAGAGAAGACAGGCAAGAACCGTTCTCATCAGACCCCCAGGCACGAGCTGCACAAGATGAGCAGAGTTCCCGCTCTCGCGAACTGCTCTGTCCATGGGAAGAAACCTGTGCCTGGCTCCTAAGAGCTTCAGCATCGTCCTCACCGTCCTCACCACTGCCACCATCCAGAGGTACATACTGAGGCCTGCTACATGCAAGGCCAGAGTCAGGAGCTGTGAGGACTCAGAAAGGAGGCTTCTCTGGATCCTGCCCTCCAGCCTGGGGAGGCAGCAGTGTGCCCTCAGGGGTGAGTGGCTGTGGATGGGTTTTAGAAATCCTAGGCTTGGGCTCTGAGTCTCTCCCCTCTGATGCTTAAGATATCAGGGGTCAGGGATGGTTTGGGGGACAATGGCTGAACACAGAAAACCAAACAAAACCCAGGACCAAGCTGAGGATTTGCTGGAAGGCGCAGACAGGAAACACCACAAGAGGTTCACCTTTATTGCCATTACTAATAACTATCTTAAGAGGCAGTAGAATCTACTGCCTAAGACTGGGGCCACCTGGGTGCAGTGCCCAGTGCCATAGCTTACTGGCTCTGGGACCTTGAGCAACATGACTTGACCCTGCTGTGCCTCAGTTTTCTTACCTATAGAATGGGGATGTTAATAACGGTCCTCATAGAGTTGTAGGGAGGACTAGGTGTATCAATACATTCAAAGAGCTTAGAAAAATGTCCAGCACAAAATAAGCCCACATCAGTGTCAATGCTGTTGCTGTGGTTCCCTCAGGTGTTAAGCTTTGTGAGTTTGAACATCTTTTCTTCCCGGTTGTACTGTTTCTCCAATGTCTGAGACAGTGTCTGACATAGGTTCAATTGTTTTTTAATATTTTAAAAACTATTTTAGCCTTTTTGTAATCATTTTGAACTTGCAGGCAAGTTGCAAAATAAAACAGGATTTCTGTGTTCCCTTCACCCAGCTTCCCCTAATGTGAACAGGTTACATTACTACCATACAAAGAATGAAAGCAGGAGATACACAATGACACAACGCTATCAACTAACACAGACCTTAGAGTAAACATCTTTGAGTGACAGAAGGAGTGACAGAAGGAAGGAAGGAAAGGCGGAAGGTAGGAAGGAAGGAGTGCTATGGGCTGAGGTGATCAAGGAAGGCTTCCTGGAGGAGGTGGATTTGAGCTAGCCCTTGAAACAGAAGGGTCTTGAGACAGAGAGAGTGGATGAAAAGCTTTCCAGGAGGGAGAAATTACACAGAGGCATGGAGGCCCCAAGGGATGAGGGGAGAGTGAGGGGAGCAGTCTATTTAAAGGCTGGATGGGGCTGGATGGTGGAGGATTGGGTGTGTGGAGGGGCAAAGGGGCAAGGGGCACAGGCCACCTCCAGATACCTGGCCTTCTTTTTGTCCAGCTGCACTTCTTCTGTGCTGCCGTTGGTGCCGTAGAGGGTCATAAAGATGTTGGAGTCGGTGCCACCACCAACCACGTCACCCGTCCACACCGTCATTTCATAGAGCACCTGCCACGAGAGGGATGTGGGTCCTGGGCATTGGTCTCAACCGTTAACCCCACGGATTTGCCTCACTCTCACTGGGGCAAGACAACACGCCCTCCAAGCTCCATGGCTCTGAAAAGAGATCTCCCCCTAATCAACTATAAATGTCTGGAGAGCAAGAGCTAGGCCTTGTTACTGTCTGTGTCCCTGGCTGTGTCCAGTTCAGTGCTGGAGAGGAGCTCAGTTTCTGATAGAGAACGCATGTGCAGTAGGAATATGACCAAAAGCCCCAGTGTTAACCAATTTCTTTGTCAGTCGAATCTCAACCTAAGTCTGTTCATCCCAGCAGCGTGTGTTGGCCAGACAGTGGCTTTTGGAGCCATGCAGGGCGCCATTTGAGTCCCAGATCCGTCCCGTGCTAGCTGTTGACCTGGGCAGAGGCCCCACCTTCTCCAGCCTCTGCTTCCTCCCCCATAAAATAGGGATAAGCACTTTGTAGAGTTGCGAGAGCTACAGACACTTCGCCTTGGGGATGGTTCTGGGGGACTCCCTCCTTCCTGCTGCAGCCAGCACACACCCTGCACATTGGTGAGTGGGAAGCGCGCCCAGTCTGATGGTTCAGGGACTTCTGCCTCCATTCACTTGTGAAGTGGGACAGCCGCCTATTGTACGTGGTTTTCACTTTAGATTGGAATTTTGCCCTTTTGCCTGAGGTTTGCTCCAAAGAGGACGTATTCCCTTTGTATTCCCTTTGTCTCTGCCGGAGGCGGAGGGAGCAGCCTACTCCTCTGAGGATGGTGGTGCCCTCACCGAGGCCCCTGCCTTGGTTCTTCCTCCAAGAGGCAGCCTCATGTCAAGAGGGGCCATCTTCACCCCTGACCTGGAAGTTTCTCTGGTCCTGGCTTCTTACTCCACGCCTCTCACCAGGTGCCCAAGGACTAGCAGTTAGGTCTCGAAGGTTCCGGAGAGGCTTGCACACATGGCCAATGATGTGCCAGGCTGAGCATCTCCTCTGCATATACCTGTACCCGGCCCTTCCCTTCCCCAGTGGCTGCTGTCACTCGTGCAGGAGCTAGGTGCCCATCACCCAGGTGCTTTCGGACTCATAACCCAAGTTATTCATGGCAGTGATCATGCCCCTGGTGTTGTGCCTTTTCAAGCAGCATCTAGAATCTTCACCACGCTACTGCAAGGTTCAAAGTAGTATTTCAGGCCTGGCCAGGAGGACATGTTTGCCAAGGGAGTCATTGAAGAGCACCTTGCTTTACCAGGAAAATCCTCTTAGACAACCTAACAAGGACATTTGTGATGGGCACGGAGCTATCAGAAATGAAAGCAGAAGCCTGACACTATTTTGCTCTAATCCAGCAGACATAGAAACAGAATGATCAAAGTGAGTGCTTGGTGGCCCCATGGAGACTGTCCCTTTAAGGCTGATCTCTCCAGACTCCTGTGTTCTCTGTGTCCATTTTTCTCTCCTTTATGCAGACACATCTCTTTTTATGTCATAGGTGTGTTTCCAGAAAGAGACACAGAAACAGGGCTTTTGTAATTCCAGTCTGATATCAGATGTCCCGGGGAGGTGGCCAGTCCAAAGAGCCCTATAGTTCTTTGTAAAGTGACAAACGTGTGTTCTTTTGTAACATGAATAACTGGGGTGTGGGTCTGGATTTCCACAGACTAAAGAGCTCAGAGGGAGATGTAGCTGTACCGAGCGGGGTGTGCGTATGCGCTGGGAGTGGCACACACACACACACGCCCACGTGCGTGCTGGGAATTGGGTCAGGACGGAGGTCCCTGGATGAATTGTGTGCTCTCCTGCACTGACTGTCTGGCCACAGATGGAGATGGCTGAGCAAGGGAGGGGGGTATCGATGCCGTAGAAAGTTCTGCTCTCTGGCTGTCAAGCAGGGGATGGGCAGGCATCCACACTCCTGCCTGGCAAGAGTTTTAGAGCCCATAACTCAGCCCTTCGTTCTGTTTCCATATACTATACAGTCAGGGCATGCTCAGGCTCAGAGCGATTTCTCCTTACCTGTGTGTGACGGCTTCTGACCTAAATCTAGTAGTGCATTTGTTTGGATTCAGGAATAGAGATGAGGGCTGGGACCTTCTGTTTACCCCACAGCTTTTCAGAGAGAAAGGGAACCTGCAGGTCATGTGACACAGAGGCCTCTGCACCACCAGCTGGCCACGTTTCCTTGGGCCCCAGTACCCAGGCATCCTGCTTCCTGCCTGACACCCACCTGTGACTTTATACAACTTGTCGCAGGTCATTTGGCTAGTTACAGGTGGAGATGGGACAGGAGCTTAGAGCACCTGCCTTCCAGCTTTTTCCCCTTAAGGGGGTCTTGTGCAGACAGCACTCACTACACTATGATACCCAGAGGCTCACAGTCTCCCAAATGCCATCTGTCCTCATGACTGGCCTACTGGTGTTGTTGCAGCATCCTTTGGAGAATAATGACTCTGCATGTCTGTGTAGAGCATGCAAAGCTTTTCTGGACTGTTCATGGTCTCATTAGTTCTCATCAAGATCTTACATGGAACAGGATAGAAAGCATTATTTCCATGTGCTGTATGAGAAAACCAAGGCCCGGAGAGGCCAGATGACTTGTGCATGGTTACAGAGCTGCAGACAAGAAGAGACTTGATTCTCTTGGCTCCTAGCAAAGTGGGTCTGGCTGCTATATAGGGCTGCAGGCCCTGCCAATGCCCCAGGGATGAGTCTGCTGCTTCTCTCACTTCCATTTCCCCTGCTGCTCGCCCACCTCAGCCTGCACTGCCCTTAGCCACAAAATGCACACACACAGGTGCCCTCTATACCTTCACCCCGATGTTCACCACCATGGCATCCAGGAGGTCAAAGACACGGGAGGTGACTCCATCTCCTCGGTCCTTGGCGAGCCAGCAATTGCAGCGCAACGTGTACTTGGTGCCCTGGGTGGGCACAGCCAAGCATAGCTCCTCCACCAGCCAGCAGCTCTCGGGGGAGGCCCCGTCGTGGCCCAGCTAGGAGGGGACACACAGGGGCCATGAGGACAGGGCACAACTGGGAAAGAAGCCCCCCCTGCTCAGGGTCCGCTTCCCCACTCTTCTGCCTCCTCCCTCAGCGTTGCCTTCCAATGTGCTTCGCACTCACTGACCAGAGTCCCTCCCGTGAAGGTGGAGAGATTTTGCAGATGTAATTAAAGTCTCTAATCAGGTGACTTTGAATTAATCAAAAGATTATTCTAGGTGGGCCTGACCTCATTAGGTGAGCCCTTTAAAAGAGGGTCTAGACGTCAGAGATGGAAGAAGTCAGAGAGATTTGAAGCAGAACAGATCTTCTCTGAATGGCTTTGAAGAAAGAAACTTTCTTATTTTGGAGAGGGTCACGTGGCAGGGAATGCCGGCAGCCTCTGGCCTTGGTCCTACAACTACAAGGAAACAGATTCCTTCAACAACCATTGAGCTTGGGATAGGACCCCAAGTCTCAGATGAGACCCCAGCCGTGGCAGCAACTTGATTTCAGCCCAGTGAGACCTTGAGAAGAGGGCCCAGCTAACTCAGACCTGGACTTCTGACTCAGGACACTGTGAAATAATACATTTGTGTGGCCTTAAATTATTAAGTTTGTAGTAATTTGTTACACAGCGATAAAAAACTAATACACAGGCATCCCCATTGGGTGGGTGGAAAACGGACCTGGAGGGGCAGGTGATGCAACCAAGGTCACCCAGCTAGTTGATGGCAGGGGCCAGGAGCTCCTCCTCGGCTGCCTGTTCTGAGTGGGGTTCAGGTCCGTCCCACTCACCCTCCCACCTGTGTACTGGTCAGTTCCTTCCTTCCTTCCCTAGGGGTGGTCACCATCCCGAGGCCCTAGGGCCCAGCACCTCTATTTTCTTGATCACGCCCACATCCAAGCCTGCAACATAGAACTCCTCCACTGAGCCGCAGCTGAAGCCCTTCTTCCCTCGGGGATAGTCCAGCCAGATGCGGTTACTGCGCTCGTCATCCTCTCCGATGAGGAAGATGAAGGCCCGGCTGTCGGTGGCTGCGTCCTTCTGCTTCCCCGTGGTGACTGACACATAGTAGGGAATAACTGCAAGAGATCATGGGAGCCCAGCCTCATCACAGGCCACGTGGACCAGGGTAGGCTTGGACACTTGGAAATGACCTCTGGAGGCACTGATCTCAGCTCCCTGCCTCTGAGACAAAGTACAACAGAGCTTTTCAGACTGGCAGGCATCTACCCTCCAGGGACTGAGGGAGCTGGTAACTCCCAAGAGAAGATCAAAGAGAGCATGGTTGCCACATCTAAAAGCCCTGTTGACCAATTATCTTAGTTGCACCTAGCACTCCCATGTGAAGTGGGGTGAGAAAGATAATGGCTAGCCAAGTACAGGGGTTAGATGCCTGAAAAGCTTATCATAGATAAGAAAAGCTTATCACAGCAAAAATGAGGTTGGCAAAAGCAAGGTCTTAAGGAAAGTAGGAATTTAGGGAGGATAATAAAAAATAGCATTTATATATGTAACCTGGTAAATGAAAGTTCTAGAAGGCACTCATTTCCAAAACAATCCAGATTAAACAGCATAAAAACTTGCTCAGGTAGTATGGCATAGAGTTCTAGTTGCCCAGCCAGTTTCCATTCTCCTTGCAGCTAGGGGTGATCATGATATATAAGATGTTGGGAAATTTCTTTTAAAGGGTCTGACTCAACTGGGAGGAGCACCTTTTTGCCCCTTACCCTTCCATTCATTCTGCTTGGAATGTGGATGTGATGTCTGGAGCTCCAGCTCCAAGTCTTCTTGGAACCATGGGCAACCTTTAGAATGGAAGCCACTTGTAAGATTGCCAGAGTGGTCAGGTTGAAAGAGCCTAGGTCCCTGAATTCACTGGGGCTGCAATATCATTCTCAACTGCTTCTCTTTGAATTTTTATGTGTAGGAAAAGAAAAATTCCTTGTTCATTTAAGCCACTATCTTTAGGTCTCTTGTTATTTGCAGTTACTAACTGAAACAGGTTGGAAAACCTTCTCCTGGCTCATCTTCCTCAACAGCTTGGGAGACACTGCCCTGGGGTAGTAGATGTTAGGTTATGCAATCTGTAGCCCTTTGAAAAATGTCCAGACTAGACCTTCCTGGCTGGAATTACCTGCATTGTTTTCTGCCCATGGCTGCATTTCATCTTTACAAGGAGAGCCCCACTGGCCTTTCCACAGTTGATCATCGGGCTTAATTAAGGAGAAGCACTTTCTTGTGGGTCCTGTCTAAGAAGGTAGAGTATAAAAAGATTGGCTCTTTGCCCAATCCTATCCTACAGACCCTCCATGTGGTCTTCTGGAGAAAAATATAGTGGTTGACATGCTCTTATATCTAAGAGAACTGAACAGAAAAGCAGTGGATTTAAATGTCCAACAGAAAAATATACAACTGCCTTATCTCAAAAATCTAGTTGGAAAAAATGAACTCAGGATATTACAATATTGTTTTAAGAAGCAGGAAAAAACTGAAGCTAAGAGAGTGACTTGTCCAAGGCCGCACGTTTTCTTGTCAGAGCCAGAAATGGAACTTAAATCTCCAAAAAACCAGCTCAGGACTTCTTCCCCCCCACCCCACCCACTGTTCATGCCTAAAATTTGCATGGCTGAGTCCTAAACAACATACAAGGAATTCTCACTGCTTCTCTTGATTTCTGTCTCATGAGAATTGTCCTAGGCTCTCTGGGCTGAAACTATTTCTTGGGAGTCTGGGTGAGGGCAGAGTTTAGGATGATACCCTCCTGGTGGTAGATCAGCAGATTAAGGATGTCATCATCCTAACTTCTCTTAGCCTTTGTTTCCCCATCTGTAAAGGAAATAATTGCTGCCCTCTGTAAACAAAATTAATAAACAAAAACGTCAATTAAATAGAGTCTGGTGACCAGAAGGGGGAGCTCTCACTCCCTATGATGATGGCAGTGTCCAACAGGAAAAAGAAAGACTCCACTTCTTTCCTGGCAACAACTCAGTCAATGGAAAGCCCTGGACTCTTTGTTTACTACAACTCTCCCAACTGCCTTTTCCAAGAGTTCTCCCTTGCTCTGTGGGGACTTGCAGGTAGTTTGCCAGGGTTGCAGACTCCGAATTGCAATTCTCTGCTGCTCCCAAAAAACCCATTTTGCTAGAGAAATAAGTGGCAGTCTATTTGTTTTAGGTCAACATTTTGGTGGCCCATACAGGGATCCAGAGAAGAGCCCCGACAGGTCTGGGGCTGGTGAGCAAACAGGTGAGATACCCACAAGTGAGCCCATCGTGCCCACTGCTTTTCTTGTCAACCCTGGAGTTTGAAGGTATGTCTTTTTCCTGGATCTGAGCTCATACTCTCTTTGCATTTGAAGCTTTCCAGGCCTTATCTGGGATCTATTTTAAGGTTTTGTCCTTTCTGGTTAAGGCCTTGTTCTTTATACGAGTACTCATTTGCCACCTTGGTCAGATTTTGAGATCAGACTCTTTCAACTGAAACTGGTTAGGTTTCAACCTGTTCCCTTTGGAACGGGGGCTGTTTCATTGCAACTGTGCTGTTTCAGCCTTTGACCCATTCCTTTGGAGTAGGGGTTGTTCTATGAGAAGTGGGCTGAGAAGCCTTTGGCCTGGCTCCTCTAGAACCAACCTGTTCCCTTAGAACTTGCTAGTATTAGACCTGCAGTTCCTTTGCAAGCTGTTTGAGATATTTGAACTGTTTAAGCTATTGAACTGAGTTGTTTAAAATGTAAGATGGTTGAGTTTTTTAATCTGTTTAAAAATTATTCTTTTACTCTATAGAAAATGCTCTGAGAAATAGGATCCCAGTTATCTAAATATTTTGAGGGTACCCCTCCTACAGGGAATCTGGTCAATTTTATGTGTAAAAACCTCAGTTCTTCCTCATACGCATTTCTAACTAAATGGATCTACCTGACCAAAGGCAATTTAGAATACCAATGGCCAAATGGAACTTCTGAAATCCCCAAAATGAATTTTTTAAAAACCAAATTGGAATACAATAGTGCTAAAATTTCTAGAACTGAATGGAATGTGTATTTAGATTGGTACTTTGAGGCTTCCAAACATTATCATAAGCCTAAAATTGCCTCTCTGCAAGTGAGCCTTTTGTAAGTAGCAGTATAGACGGGTCTTGTTGTTTTTAATCCAATCAGCCACCCTATGTCTTTTGATTGGTGCATTTAATCCATTGACATTTAAAGTGATTATCGATAGCTATGTCATTTTGTCACTTGTTTTCTGTTTTTTTGTAGTTCTTTGTTCTTTTCTTCTTCTTTTCAGTTTCTTCCCTTTCGGTCTGATGATTTGCTTGTGTTCCTTTCTCTCTAGTTTTTTGTGTATCTATTGTAGGTTTTTGATTTGCGGTTATCTTGGGGTTTGTATATGTTGACCCATAACTATATCTACTTTGTTGTAAACTGGTAGTCATTTAAGTTCAAATACTGCCTAAAAGATCTACATTTTTTTACTCCCCTCCCCCATGTTTTGTGTTTTTGATGTCATATTTTATATCTTCATGTCTATCTTTTAGCTATTATAGTTATAGAATTTATTTGCCTTTACTAGTGGGATTTTTCCTTTCCTCGAAGTTCTTACTTCTTGTTGCAGCTTTGTTTTTTTTTTAAACATCATTATTGGACTATAATTGCTCTACAATGGAGTGCTTGTTTCTACTTTATAACAAAGTGAATCAACTATACACACACATATATCCCCATACCTCCTCCCTCTTGGGTCTCCTTCCCACGTGTCCCTCCTACCCTCCCTATCCAACCCCTCTAGGTGGTCACAAAGCACTGAGCACATCTCCCTGTGCTATGTGGCTGCTTCCCACTAGCTATCTATTTTACATTTGGTAGTGTATATATGTCCATGCCACTTTCTCACTTCGTCCCAGCTTACCCTTCCCCCTCCTCATGTCCTCAGGTCCATTCTCTACGTCTGAGTCTTTATTCCTGTCCTGCCCATAGGTTCTTCAGAACCATTTTTTTTTTTAGATTCCATAAATATGTGTTAGCATACGTATTTGTTTTTCTCTTTCTGACTTACTTCACTGTGTATGACAGACTCTAGGTCCATCCACCTCACTGCAAATAACAATTTCGTTTCTCTTTATGGCTGAGTAATATTCCATTGTACACATGTGCCACATCTTCTTTGCCCATTCATCTGTCAATGAATACTTAGGTTGCTTCCATGTCCTGGCTTTTGTAAATAGAGCTGCTATGAGCATTGTGGTACATGACTCATTTTGAATTATGATTTTCTCAGGGTATGTGCCCAGTAGTGGGATTGCTGGGTCATATGGTAATTCTATTGTTAGTTTTCTAAGGAGCCTCCATACTGTTCTCCATAGTGGCTGTATCAATTTACATTCCACCAACAATGCAAGAGGGTTCCCTTTTCTCCACACCCCCTTCAGCATTTGTTCTTTGTAGATTTTCTGATGATGCCCATTCTAACTGGTGTGAGGTGATACCTCATTGTAGTTTTGATTTGCATTTCTCTAATAATTTGTGATGTTGAGCAGCTTTTCATGTGCTTCTTGGCCATCTGTATGTCTTCTTTGGAGAAATGTCTATTTAGGTCTTCTGCCCATTTTTGGATTGGGTTGTTTGTTTCTTTAATATTGAGCTGCATGAGCTGTTTATATATTTTGGAGATTAATCCTTTGTCTGCTGATTCATGTGCAAATATTTTCTCACACTCTGAGGGCTGTCTTTTCATCTTGTTTATGGTTTCCTTTGTTGTGCAAAAGCTTTGAACTTTCATTAGGTCCCATTTGTTTATTTTTGTTTTTATTTCCATCACTCTAGGAGGTGGATCAAAAAAGATCTTGCTGTGATTTATGTCAAAGAGTGTTCTTTCTATGTTTTCCTCTAAGAGTTTTATAGTCCCCAGTCTTACATTTAGGTCTCGAATCCATTTTGAGTTTATTTTTGTGTATGGTGTTAGGGAGTGTTCTAATTTCATTCTTTTACATGTAGCTTTCCAGTTTTCCCAGCACCACTTATTGAAGAGACTGTCTTTTCTCCATTGTATATCCTTGCCTCCTTTGTCATAGATTAGTTGACCAT